CTTACTTCCTATATACCCACGCCTATATGCCTTTCTGTTCTGCTCCCTCATTTGCTCTCTCAGCCCAGCTACATCACTTCCTCTTCCTTCCCAGATCTGTCACTTCCTGTCTGTCTATACAGACCTCCAGACCTCTATGGTTAGTGTTGTGATTAAAGGCATGTGTCACCATGTTTGACTCTGTTCCCCAGTGTGACCTTGAACTCACAGAGATCCAGACAGATCCCTGCCATTCAAGTGATAGAATTAAAGGTGTGTGCTACCATTGCCTGACTTCCATGCTTACTTAGAGTGGCTGGCTTTTTCCTCTGATCCTTAGATAAATTTTACTGGGGGACACAGTATATTGGGGGACATAATACATCACCACAGTTCTATGAGATTCTGAAAAGAAGATATATTCTTTTATGTTTGGGTGAACTGCTCTGTAAATATCTGTTAAGTCAATTTGATTTACAATGTCAGTTAACTCGAACATTTCTCTGTTTAGTTTTTGTCTGGATGACCTGTTTTTGGTGAGATTTGGGTATTGACATCTACCACTATCAGTGTGTGAAGGCCAACATGTCATTTAACCTGTATTAGGATTTCTTTTATGAATGTGGGTGCCCTTGTGTTGGGTGCATAGATGTTAAGAACTCCAGTGTCCTCTTGTTGGATTTTCCTTTGATAAGTATGTAGTGTCTTTCCCTACCTCTTCTGATTAGTTTCGGTTTGAAACCTATTTTATTAGATATTAAAATGGCCATACCAGCTTGGTTTTTAAAGTCCATTTGCTTGGGATATCTTTTTCCATTCTTTTACCCTGAGGTGATGTCTCTATCCTTTATGGTAAGATGTGTTTTTAGATGCAGTAGAAGAATGGATCCTGTTTTTGTATTCATTCTGTTAGTCTGTGTCTTTTTATTAGGGAATTGAGACCATTGATGTTGGGAGATATCAGTGAGCAGTGTTGGTTGATTCCTGATATTTTGTTGGTGTGGTGTGGTGTGGTGTGGTGTGGTGTGGTGTGGTGTGTGTGTGTGTGTGTGTCCTGGTCTGGGATTATTTAGTCCTTGTGTTTTCTTGGATGTATTTAACCACTTTAGGGATGAGGCTGGGCTAGGACAGGAAATGGGGGCTCCACAGGAGAGAGGAAAGCAAGACTTCCTACCGGGATTTGCTTAGTCCACTGGGAATGGGCTAGAGTGAGGAGAGGCCAGGGCAGGTATTCTGCTACAGAGCTGGAAATGAGACCAGGATGTTGGATTTGGAGGAGAGGGGGGGGTGAGTGAAGATCTACAATTAGCCTACCTGCTTCATGGGCCTACCTGTTTCCCTGGCAGGCTTGGCTATGGGGTTCCCAGGGAATGCTGGCTGGAGTTGGGGGCTGGGATGAAGCAGTAAGTTGGGGGGAAGGGAGGTTGGAGGGGAAGATCTGTGTGATCAAGCAGGGAGGGAGAGGAGGCTGCCTCAAGCAGTCTGCTACAGATCTGGGGATGAGACTGGGGGATTGCATTTGGAGGGGCGAAAGGAGCCTGCTTCTCTGGCCAGAGTCCAACCTCTTTTCCCAATGTTATGCCATCCCAACCAATCCAGACGAGAAAGAGGGTTCGGGTGGACCAATTGATCTTCAAAACATCAAGATCAGCCTGAAATCATGCAATTATTCTTAGCTAAGTACAGAGGTAGTGTTCGTGTGTCTTGTGTCAAGAATCATAGCTGCTGTAGGCTGAGTGCGATGGTTCACCAAGCAAAGACATCTGCTGTCAAACCTGACCAGCTCAGTTGGGTCCCTAGTGGCCACACTGTGGAAAGAGAGAACTGACTCCCCACAGCTGACCTCTACCCTCCACATGTGCCCCAACGCACTAAACACAGAACAAAGAAAAACACAATTAAAATTTTTTAATCCCATCACAGATGGCCACTGTAAGTGGAAGTTAGACGAAAAAATGTTTGATACCTCAGGTTCCTTAGCTGCGGATGCACAGGAGGCTCAGCTAAGGGAAGCAACACCCCACACTGGAGTGTTTGGGCTAAGAAAACCTGTCTGGCCTAGGGAGGTCACTGTATCCCATGAGACAAGCACCTGTGGGGTTTCTTTCCCCAGTTCATTCATTTATTGCTTTCACCACTGTGTGCCAGTGCTTAGCAAAGCCTGGAAAAATGAACTCCACATTATGAAATACATAACCCTAACATTTCTTAAATTTTTGCCTGCCTCTACAGGTGGGCAGGTTCAGGGAAACCCCCTTTACCAAGATTGTTTCATTCCTTACAGCAGATTTTCATGTGGTCCATGGTCTGTCCACATCTGGCTCTGTTCCAGGTCTTGTTTGTTGCTGTAAGGAGGACCCTGGGCACTTACCTCTCTGTGCTTCTCAGGCAATCCTCCAACCTTTGCCCTGAAGATTATTTAGGGATGTCTCTCAACAGGTCATCAAAGAAGACAATCTACAGAAAAACAGTCAAGAAGTGGGTACCTACATGTTACTGAAGTTTGCTGAGCTGCGGGATGAATTCGACATTGTTGGGGATGTCCGAGGCAAAGGTCTCATGATAGGGATAGAGATGGTTCAAGACAAGGTAATGATCTGCAGCTGTTTGGGTGGCTGCCTGGGGCCAGCAGCAGGTAATTGTGGAAGTTAATAGGGCTGAATGCATACATATTACTCAAACTATGAAGCTGTTGGTTACTATATATAATACACCATCAAGGCCCATGGGAAAGGTGGGTAGGAAGCCCTGAGGGAACAGCAAGCTGAGTGCACTAAAGGGAACCCTCCTCTACCTTAAAGTCTGACTCATGAGCAGGATCGTGGCTTACACATCTAAATCTTGGAAGCTAGACATAGTGATGATGATCCCCATGACTGATCTGTGAAGGAAACAGGAGAAAACGGGGCAGCAAAGGCACCCAAGACTTATCAAGGAGGACTGGAAGGGTTCCCAAGACAGCTATCTAAGGATCATGTTAGAAATACAGATGCTAAGCCTTTCCAGATATACCAATTTGTCCTACCACAAGGCCCGTATATTTGTAGTGTGAAAGGCCCCAGGGAATGCAGGTGCACTTAGGCTTGAAATAGATAAACTAGGGGGAAATATTTGTGTTGGAAGACTGAGGATGCAGGAACACACAGAAATGATGCAAACTCCAGCCCAATGTCACCAAAGTTGAAGTAGCGTGGTAAGAAACCAACTTCAGTGCCTAGAGATCTGCCATGGCCTCTTGGCTCCTAAGCACTTGCTTTCCCTAACCCTGACAGTTGGAGTCTTGGGGAAGGTAATTCCACAAACGTGGAAAACACTTAGCTCCACACCAGCTCCATGGCCATGCCATGGCCTGGGAAACATTTAGCTGCATGTGCCCTTATGCAACTTCTAAGCCACTTCCTGGACTGTGGAATGAAGTCTTTAGCTAGGCAGAGCACCCTAATGAGTTGAAGATGATTTTAACACAAACAAAACAGATCCCAAATCAGCTATTAAAGGACCAAACCCCAGGGTAGCCTTTAGCAGAGCCAGGATTCGTTTACTGCCTACATGGAATTTCACTTTGTCTTTGGGAATTTTTTGGGATAAAGTAGAGTAAAAGCCAATACTTTTAATACCCACTCACCCCCCAAAACCAACTCTGGTTCAGTAATTAACAGCTTTCCTTAATTAGGGAGACATTAATTGCTTGAGTTTTGTTTTGTTGTGGTTTTTCTTGGGCCCCATACCTGGGGAAATAATTTTTCTAACCATTCAAACACCAAATAGAACCCCCCCCCCTTTTTTTTTTAAATGTATTCACAGATGAGCCGCCAACCTCTTCCCAAAACAGAAGTAAATCAAATCCATGAGGACTGCAAAGACATGGGGCTCCTATTGGGCAGAGGTGGCATTTTTTCTCAGGTAAGAGAAGGGCTTCCTGTCAGGTAGGGTCTCCCTGGGGTGTCACTGTGCTAGGGCACCCAGCTGTACTTCCTCCGTGTTAGGATAATTCTCAGGTATAATCAGAAGACATGGACAAGAGACAGCTTCTGCCACTAGAGGGTGATGTGGTAAAGGGATTCAGTTATCCATTTCTTTGTAGGCAAAGGAGAGGCATTAGAAAGGCCACACAAACCAGACAATTCACAGCATGGGTGATAATAGAATCATAACACTCATGCAACTTATATATACATATGCATTGTATTGTGTATTAGTTAGTTCTAACCCCTGAGAAAACAATCATAGTCATTCTTAACTCCACCCTGAAGTCTGACTTTGTAAATCTGCTCAGCTTTAGTGGCCATCTATGATCCCAGAAAGAGAGATTAGAGGCCATCCTAAACTTGACCCCTGATGCAGAACTCAAGAACAGCCATTCAGCATCCTTCACCTTCAGCTGAACTATTCCAAGACAGGCTCACCCTACCCCCTTCCTGGAAGTTAAACCCTGGTCTGACCCTGTGCTACAAGAATGAGATGGTGATGATGGTGATGATGATGATGATGATGATGATGATGATGCACAATATGCCTCTAAATCCCTACAGCATCAGGTCCCTTACCAGAATGGGCTCCCATGGTAGAGATTCAAGAATGAGAGTGACTTCTGTTCCCCATGAATATTCTTTTTTCCTTCTTTAATTTTGCCCATTTCAAAACATTTTCTTTCATGAAACATGATCATTGCCCATATTTAGGGAGTACATCATGATGTTTGGATTTATGAATAATGTTACAATGTTCAAGAGGTAACACTTATCTGTCTTCTCACATATCATTTCTTTGTGATGAAAACATTCAAAATTCTTTCTTCTTGACCTTCTTAGTTGAGGTTTTATTGCTGTGAAGAGACACTGTGACCATGGCAACTCATATAAAGGAAAACATTTTATTGGGGCTGGCTTACAGTTCAGAGGTTTAGTCTATTTCATCATGGCAGGTGGCATGCAGGCAGACATATTGCTGGAGAAGGAGCTGAGAGTTCTACATCCTGATCCACAGGCAGCAGACTGAGACACACTTCCTCTAGCAAGGCCACACCTACTCTGACAAGACCACACCTTCTACTAGTCCCACTCCCTATGGGCCAAGCATTCAAACACATGAGTCTATGGGAGCCTTAGCTATTCAAACCACCCCATGGACTTTAGAAATATACAGTGCATTGTTGCTACCTTTAGTCAATTCAGCATGCAGAAGATCACCAGACTTCTTTCTTCTAAATGCAGTTTAATATTTCTACCTACTTTAAAGACTCCTCATTTGTCCCATTGTCCTACCCCTTTCCTGGCTAACACAATGGATACTGAAACATCTTCTTGCCTCATGCTTGACAGAGGACATTGAAACTATCAGACAAGATGCCTAAATAAACACTAGAAATTATTTTCTGTTTATATCAAATAGTGTGGCTTAATTATCTAAATCTTTAGTTATAAAGATATGAAGTAATTGTCTACTTGTTTAGTTTTTCCTTCAAATTCATGTTAAGCAGCCAGTGATATGCTGGGAACCAAAGCTACAATGATAAATGTGTTCTGATTACAATCTTCATTGAGCTTATGGGAGAAAAAAAACATACCAACACAAAACTGCCATACAATATATTAATCTCTTCTGCAGCTATAAGATGTGATGATGTGGAAGGAAAGAGAATAGATGCTGAGGCCATCATCTTGCCAGCAGAGCCTTAACTCACTATACAAAAAGCCAAAGCATGAGAAAAAAATGCAAAGAGCTGTCCACACACTAGTGTGGCTAGAGCATCAGCTTAATGTGATGGCTGGGGACAGCTAGAAGTCCTGTTACCTTGTCAGCCACTCTTCTTCACATGTTGTACATGCTGACTCATATAATGCTCTCTCAACAAACCAAAGAAATCAGTCCTATGATCACCCTTACTTTAGAGGTACTTAGAAGTTAAGTCAGTTGCCCAGATCGTGTAAGTAGTAAAGTGCATTTTTGAGTCTGGGTCTCTGAGACAAGTTTGGAGGCAGGGAGTCTGGCAGAAACTGAGGCTGCTTCAGCAGTGGCTGGAGAAATAAAAGATACATTCTGATGGTATTCAGGGAGTGAACTACACATGGTTTGGGTCTGAAAAATAAGCAAGAGAGAAAAATGAAAGCCTCATGTTCGATTTGGCTTAGTGGACATGAGTGCATTCCTCCTTGAACATGCTTCATTTAAGGCATTTATGGGCACCTGGTTTGGTAATTGAGCATGTGGTTAAGTGGAAAACATTGGGGTAAAGATTATAGTTTGGGGTCATCAGCACACTAATGGTAAGATGAAGAAAACTGGGGAAGTCTAGTGTCCCAGTGAGAAGCTTGATGAGGTTGGGACAGAAACTTAGGGAAGAACTCCCTTCAGTAGACAAAAGGGAAGGGGAGGAAAATGGAGACAGGATGGGGTCAATGGTGTGCCCAGAGTTTAGAGGAGTGTGGATTATAGAAGAAGAAGACAAGATGAATCAGGGAAAGGAATGCCCAAATATGACACACAAGAGAGATAATCAGGAAGGGCATGGCTGGGAAATGCCCAGTGGATCTCATGCCTTGCAAGTAACCTTAGTACAGTAGTATCAGAAAACTAATAGGACAGAAACCATGCTGCAGTGTGTTGGGAAAAAATGGAGTGAAGAGTATCAGCAAGTCTTTTAAATAAGAGTAAAAGTAGCCGGACATGGTGGCCCGTGCCTTTAGTCACAGAGTTCAGGAGGCAGAGGCCGGCAAATTTCTATGAGTTGAGGCCAGCATGGTCTACAAAGTGAATTTCAGCACAGCCAGGGCTGTAACAAAGAGAAACCTTGTCTTGAAAAACATACAAACAAACAAAATTGAGTAAATGTGGGAAGAAAGTGTGGTTATTACACTGCATGTCAACTCAGATATTTGCTCAGGGTGGTCTGAATTGGGATTATGAATGATTTAAGCATCTTACTGATACTGGCTGAGCACAAGCTGAAGGGAAGTCAAAGATTTGAGAGAACACGGGGATGTTTCCCAGAATGATCCAGGGTCCAGAGCTGACCATTTAGAACTGAAGAGTAAAGACACACCATTCCCTGAGCCTTTGGGAAAGATAAAAGAATGCATGTGGGAACAAACTAATTTAAAGAAAGATTTTGTCTGGGAGAGAAAGACTTTGTCTGGGAAGTTCAATTTCCTTCAAAGAAATAGGAACTTGATTGCTTATGAAATAAGAGTGGGACACATAGAAGTTGGTAAAAAGAAGCTCAGAAGAAAACTACAGGTTTAAAAACAAGTGAAAGGAAGCCAGTAGAGGAAGAGAATATTCTCAGGAACCAGCAGAATTTGGAGACTGCAAATATCTGGTAGTGTCACTCAGGTCCCCTGTGTGATATTCATATATTTCTCAGCCATATACATAGGAACAAAGCAGTTCATTTACAGCATTAATCAGCACTGAGACTTGGTCACATGAGCAAAGCAACGTCAGCCTGGAAACGTGTGCAAAATGAGGGGCGAGAGAGAGGGTAGTTCGGTTGCCTTTGTTCTGCCAACTGTGAGACAACAGAAGGAAGAGACCTGAGTGGAGTGATGGGTCAGAAAACAATGAAGGAATGAGGAGCCCCACACTCTTATGAAAATGGTGGGCACGATGGGAATCCGCAATTGGCTTATTCAGCCATCGACCTTGAACATGAGTAGATACAGAACAGTGGAGATGAAGACGGGAATTGGGAAAACATGTTTTGTGGTGGCATCAACTGAGCATGGGGAAGGTGGCCAAGATCTCAGGGAAGGCGGTAGAAGGACAAGTAGGTACACAAATGGCAAGAAGATAAAACTCAAAGCAAGAAGATATAAGGATTTGTGTAAAGACTTGAAGGTGAAAGAGGCCGGGAGGGGAGAGGAGGAAGTCAACCTAGTGAGAGAAATGTCAGAAATAGGATATAAATAAATAAATAAATAAATAAATAAATAAATAAATAAATAAATAAATAAATAAATAAGGTTTTGGATTCTTTGTTTAGTCCATTTCTGGAAGTCCCATTTGACTCTGATGATCTGAGCTCCATTTCCCTCTGTCTCCTCAGACGTTCCGCATCGCGCCTCCGATGTGCATCACTAAGCTGGAAGTGGACTTTGCATTTGAAGTGTTTCGCTCCGCCTTAACTCAGCACATGGAGAGAAGAGCTAAGTAAGATTTCTACAAATGGAGAATCATGAGCCTCAAGAACTTCTCAACTATGTGCAGAGATGAATTGAAGACTGTTGAAACCCCAAGTTGTAGATGAAAAACTGCAGCGCTCCTCAGTAATTGTAAAAGACCAGTAGGTGTTTAGCCATATCTGTCAATGGAGCCCCTATTCTTCTGAGAATTCTTTTCTTCAGGGACAGGATCTATCTCTGGCTCACAGAATAAGTCCCAATTAATGTAGATTTGTCTGGGATAATGGTATTTCCCATTGCATTAACTGGTTTGTAAATGGATACAGGGCATCCGTGTCACCAATTAATCCTGAAGGAAACCCACCTCTGGGGAAGCATTTCTTCATCTTTTATGCTTCTTGCCACACTAGAAATACTGTGTCTCATGATGGAATTTCTCAATTCACATCAGGCAGCTGGAATCCATGAAGAGAAAACCTGGTCGCTATGCTGCATCTGGAAAGCTGTTGGAAGCTGAGAGGTTGGTGATACCGATGAATCACTGACCATGAATCTGGGAGCCATCCTTTCTCAGGGTTCCTTGACTTATAAAATAATAAATTCATTGTGCTGCTTAAGACTTTAATATTTTCTATTAATGTGCAGCCCAAGGGCATCTTGGGAAATAATGCAGAAAACACCTAGGATGATAGCTTCACTCCAAACCTTTAACTCCCTGAAAATACCTACCAGAGCTTATTTTGCTTCTCTGTTACCTCTGCCATCATGTCTTCTTCATCTATACCCTTATTTCTACCATTTCAAATGCATACATCACTTCCCAAACTCTAGTCATTGGCATGTGCAATCATAAATATTCTTTCCTATAGGTGTTACCAGAGTCTTAGAAGTGGCAATATATTTTTTTGATTTGGCATACCCACTGAAATGTACTTAGCAGTAAACTTCAAACAATTACCATAAATGAGAACATATACTACTTACAATGTTATCATGAAAACAGAGCAAACAAGGCTTGGGTATCCAGTGTGTAAGGTGCTTGCCACACAAATACAGGGGGTAGTGGACATTTTGTTCCAGCCCTGGATAGGCAAATAAGAGAATCGCTGCCTGCGACTCACTCCCCAGCCAACCTAGACAAATTAGCAAATCCCAGAACAGCAAGAGGCCCTGTCTCAAAAAGCAAGATGAAGAGCCCTGAGGAATGACACCCTAGGTTGACCTCTGACCTCATCACTCACTTGTACACACACACACACACACACACACACACACCATCCACACACGTACACACTAAGTTAATTAACAATTTTAAAATCCTGTTCCCAGGAGATATAATTTACAAATGTTTTCAGCCTAAGAATTACTTTAAAAGAACATTAGATTATATGAAGCCTATTAAAAGTAATACTGGCAAACTGACCAAGACCTTTGCCTACAAAAAAAGCTGAAGGGCATCTGAAGAACTAACCTGATCAGCATGTGACTGGATGTATATTTAAAAGTATGTGTCCCAGTTTGAAGCCATGTCCTGATTGTCTTATCTTTCTGTGATGTCTCTTCTAACACATCCTACATCTTGCTACCAGATTTGTTTCCATCCGGCATTGACTTAAACATAGCACTCCCTGGAGCAAAGCCTCCTACCTTCTCCATAGTGTCCCTCAGACAAAGTGAAAGTCACTTAGCACGGAACTCCATGCCCTCCAGAATCCAAAAAGAACAAATACCAGAAATGTTCAGTTGGCACCATGGAAAAGTCATTGGATTAAGAGCAAGGACTGGCATTCTCTACTTGGTTCTTCTGCTTAATGTGCTATAAATGACCTCAAACAAGCCTTTTAACCTTTCCTAGCCCAGTTTCTTCCTAAGTGTATTAACTTACCATTGTTACCTTCAGAAGTTATCTTGGGAACGAAGTGAATCAGTGGATATAAAACTGAAGCCTGCAAAAGAGAAATTCTTTCCCTTCAAACGATATTTCCCTTCTTTCCTTCATTATTAACGTTTCCCCAGGAAGAGTTTCTGTGTCCCATGCATACTTCCTTGACTCCCAGCCAAGACCAGCCACCAAGGTCTCGTTCCTGCCACTCATTCCTTGGAAACAGCCTTAACAAAAGATCACATAGTTGACTTCTTTATGGCCAAAATCAAAAGGTGTTCATCCTAAGCAACTTCTTCTTGCAATAATACCCCAGTGTATAAGGTGCTTTTTCCTCAGGCTGGGGTCCCTACAGTTTGCAGAACAATATACAATATACAAGATTTTTGTCCCTTCCATTTTCTGGGAAGGGAAGTTGAGAGATCTAGTCATTCAAGTAAAGCCATAGAGTACATTCCTTGTGGCTTTCTTAACCCTACAGACTCATATATATACCTCATAGTATACTCTGCTGATCCCCCACCTCCTCTTACATGGGGTCATCGTATATTAGCCTTTGTTTTGTTATTGTTGTTTTGTTTTGATTTGCTTTTTGTTGTTTTGCTAGAACAGAACACTTGAGACAAGACAGTTTATAAAGAAAAGAGGTTGACTTGAGTTCATACTAGAGATTGGGAAACACAAGGTCAGGAAGCAGATATGACGAAGATGGCTTCAAATCCCAGTGGAAAGCAAAGAGGCACATGAGGTACACAGACGAGAAAAAAGATGAGCTGAACTTGCTTTATCACAAATGGCTGTAGCAGTAATTAATCCAGCCTGGCAAGAAAAACAGACTCACAAGACAAAAGCAGTTACCTGCTCATATAGAGTTAGTCCTCATGACCCAACCTCTGCCAGCGGGACTCCCAATACTGCCAACACCACAGACAAAACATTCAAATGCTAACACAAAGCCAGCGATGCAATACCAAAAGGTAGCCTGGTGCTGTCCATCTCTGGGCTTTGCAGGGTTCATGGCTCTACTCAGCTCACTGATGACCAGGAGAAACTGCAATCCTTTCTTGAAACAAGATGAAGATGAGCACACATCACATGCCTGGAGCAGGAAGGACATGACTTGGGGCCTGAGAGCATGGATGGCCAGTCATTCCTCTTCCTGGTTTATAACCATGAAGGCATCCTTCTTTGTTCCATTTGGAGTCGTGGGCAGGAGTTTAGCACCACCATTTTTCTCCCTTCCATTTTCTGCTCTACCCACAGGAGGTGGGATGTAAGCCAGCTTGCATAAGACAAGCTTACAACTCTTGCCAACTTTTTTCCCTTTCCTGTTAAAACAGCCTTAAGTGAAGATAATGAATACTTAGCTCAAGTAAACTTTCCACTGGTGGAACATATTGATGGTTAAGCATGTGATTAGAATACAGTGGTAAAATGTTACCAACTGTTTTAAATATTTGGAATACCAATCCACTCAAAAAGGAGTAAGGTTTTAAAATCACACTAAACTTGGGTTATAGCATTAATGATCAGAATTATTGTGAAACAATACCTACAAACAGATGACAAAATAATAAACGACATTCCTGTTTGGATTTGTAAAAATTCCATTCGTTGATCAGTGTAGAACTTAATTTTACAGTACATTTGTTTCTCAGTATTCTTAGGGGATTGTTTCCAGGGCCCTCTGCAGATACCAAACATGAGGATACTCATTCTATACAGTCTGGAGAATGAGTGACTTTATTAAGTACACAGCAAGCATGCAAAAATGAAAGAAAAACAAAAACGAGTAACAAGCAGCAGATAAATAGAGGCAGCAAATGGATATCAAAACAGATGCTCATGGCATCCATCGGACATGACTGGAATAGCCTGATTCAAGGAGCAAACAGATGGGGCAGCATCAAAGCATGGGATCACAGTGAGCCAGACTGGGGACGTGGAGGCAGTCAGCTGGAGTTTCTGACTGACCTTTCCCTCCATGAATGGGCTTGCAACATCTCTTTCCCACCACGGGCGTTTTTATAACCATTGAAGAAACAATAGTAATCTGTGCTGGAAATACCTTTCAGCTGCTCTTAAGGACATGGCGTTTAATAGCCTTAACTGCTGACTGTTTTTTCCTCTCTCTATTACAAAGCCAAGAGCCAGCCTGACCCAGGGCAGGAAGTTTACAGAGGACACTTGGTAAACATGTTTAAGTCTGAGACAAAGGAGGGCCTCCTTGCTGCCAGATTGCTTTCGAGGAGCTTAAGCAACACATGACTACTTACCAGTATAATGGATATTCTGATGCTTGAGTCCTTTATCTAAACAGGTGTAAATAGAATTTGCATATAGCCTTCAAACATGCAACTTAAATCACAACTAGATTATTTATAATATATAATACAATATGAATTTTGGTACTGTTTATGGAATAAATACAAAAAAAAATACGTACATGTCTGTGATGGGTACTTTGGTTGCCAACTTGACTACATATGGAATTAACTAAAACCAAAAATGGCTGGGCACACCCGTGAGGGATTTTTGCTTAGTCAGATAATTCAAAGTTGGAAGATCCATTTCTAATATGGATCTTTGAGGTGGGAAAACATACTTTTAATCCAGATCTTTTAGGGTACGGAGACCCATCTCTAATCTGGGCCACAACTTCTGCTGGAAGCCTATATGAAACACATGGAAGAAGAAAGCTTCTTTTTGTTTGCTTGCTCTTGATCTTGCTAGCAAGTCCTTCACTGTCATTACACCCTACTTCTTCAGGATTCCAGCATATACTGAAGACCAGCTGAGACATCCAGCATTGTGGACTGAAGAACTACTAGATTTTTTGGATCTTCCATTCATAGGCAGCCTTTGTTGGATTAGCTGGACCACTGTCTGTATGTAATTCTAATATAAGCCCTTTCTATATATAGAGAGATTCATTCTATTCGCCCTGTTACTCTAGAAAATCCTGACTAACAAAATGTCCATTTCAGACACTTTTTTTCAGATGCATTTGGTCTACAGTTGGCTGAATCCTTGATGAGGAACCCCAGGACCTGGAAAGCCAACTGTAATTCACATTAACCTTAAAAGACATCTGTGAACTTTAGGAGGTTTAGATTCCTCAGGCATCCTGAAACCACACTCAGATCTCACCTTTTTTGCAAAGAGCAGCCAAAGATGACAGAAAGCATTTGCCTCTTCATTGTTAAAGTGTTACCAGAAAAGCATCACAAGCATCACTTGCCAGAGCATTGAATGACTGCTGGGTCATAAGAATTTTATTCTTGGTCCTGTCTTAGTCAGTGTTCTATTGCAATAAAGAGACACCATAACCACAACAACTCCTATAAAAGGGAACATTTAATTGGAGCTGGTTTATAGATCAGAGGTTTAGTCCATTATCATAATGGTCAGAAACATGATGACATGCAGGCAGAATTAGTGCTGGAGAGGTAGCTGAGAATTCTACATCTGGATCCAAAGGCAGCAGGAAGAGAGACTGAGCCACTGGGCCCAGCTTGAGCTTCTGAAACCTCACAGCCTGCTCCCAGTGGCACACTGCCCCCAACGAAGCCACACCTCCTAATAGTGCCACTCCCTATAGACCTAAGGGGGCCATTTTCATTCAAACCACCACAGATACTTAAAGTGAAAGTGCAATCAGTAAACATTTATCCCATTAAAAATGGAGATAAATAACAACAAGGGTTGGGAACTGGAATTTACAAAAGCTCAGAC